GCGGTATCTACCGGTACTGTACCGGTATTACGGAGCACTACATTGCCGTAATATGTACAGTTATCATCGTACATGTTGTATGCAATTGAATACGGACAGCCAAATTCGGCTGGCCATAAGACAGCATAAAAAGGCGCATGTCTGCTACTTAGAACCGCCTATTGTGGGCACTGCCGCGCAAAAGTCTACTTTGTACAAATGCTTATAGGTAGGTCTTTCTATAGGACACGCCAATGTCGATAGGCCAGCGGCATGGGAAAGCGTGATGAAGCTTTTACTTTGGCTGACTACCGTGACGCCCTTGACGTCGGGCTCCTATCTCCGAGATGCAGCACCACGTAGTGCGCGCGGCCTGCAATTCTTTAACACTACCCGAGCGACAATATTGGTATATACGGAGTCTGCATCGTCGTCCGGTGCAGGCATAATAAGTCAATCTACAACTGATATGGTGACTTCTTCATTGAGACCTGGCTCGAGCGGAACCACCACAATAGGATCGACAACTTCTCAGCATTCAATATACACGAGCAGCATTGTCACAATAGAATCAACGAGTCACGGTGATAAGACCACGGCGCAAACAAGCTTCAGCAGCCATACAACATATCCAACGAACTTTGACCATCCGTCTGCGGAGCGGAGCACTTTGAATGCCATCTTTACAATTGAACCCACCAACTCTGTTACCACGGTGCAGCCAAGCTTCAGCTACGCAGAGGGATCAAAAAGCTCTAATGATTTCTCCTTAGAAGGAACCGATACGGCCCCGAGCCTGATCCGTACAACTGAACCAACAAATTCGGGTGATGTGTCAATGGTGCAGGGAAGTCATTCCGAGCGCCTGACTGGCGCGCCTGGCTCCGCGACAGTGTCGACAGCTGCCACGGATATTTCCACGGCGATGTTTACCCCAAGCATGACTCGTTCCAGGGGCGCAGATGAGACAAGATCAGCAACTACCACCACATCCGAATTTGAGCCAAGTCCGCCAGCCACGAGCACTCAGTTCTCGGGAGTACTGCCCAGTAAGAGTAATACTCTTACAGATATAGAACCTACAAACGAAACTTCGGTCTACTCTACTTCGTCTACAATGGTCGCTCAGTCTACATCGGATACCTCTACCAGAAGCCTGTCACTCACCAGTGTGCTCTCACCCACTACAGACACTACAGCTATTGAGAATATGGCCGCGCCGCAACAAGACCAGGCTGATTCTAGCAGAAATAAGTCAGCTCTCTCGTTGTCAACGACAATGGTAACCGATTTAGCGGCGGCGACGAGCCCGCGGACGGTCGAGCATGCCGTAGCTTTCGGTTCGACCCCAACCGTCCAGAGCAGTCTGTCAGCTACCACTTTAACCCCGTCAGCAGACGCAACTCGTGTGGGTGTAGTTGGATATTCGACCACTACTAGCAAGATTGTCATGGGCAGTGAGACCACCAGAAGTTGGAGTGGTCGCACCTCCGCAACGAGCGTAGCTACGCTGTCCATAGGAGGAGTCTTGCCAACAACCATCCTCACACAGGCCAGCCAAGCGCCGGCACAGCCGACCGGGCAGCTTCAGACGCCCCAGGGACTGCCACACATCATCCTGCCTAACAATTCGAGTGGTTTTTCGGCAAGTGGCGATAGTCTTATCCAGCTTGGCTTCCTCTTCCCATTGAATTACGTGTTTGTCTCACAAAATCTCCAGGCGGCAGCGCAGATATTCGAAGTGCTGCCGAGGGCTTTGGCACATGGCACCGTCCAGCCTAGCGCGATAGAGGTCGCTAGGCTGGTCCCCTACGACACGCAAGCCACAGCAGGATATATTACTACTATAGCAAAGCTCTACTTTCCGAAAGTTTCTGTTAATCAGCTTCAGAAAGATATTCTCGACTCGCACTCTGCTATTTACACCAAGGGAGGAGACCTGGAAAGAAATTTGACAGCACTTATTGACGTCACCATCAAGATTACAGACGACAATGGTAGTTCCGACTGTGCTCTGTCATGCGCTGCATCCTCAGGCACGGCCAACTCCTCAAAACAGAAGGGGGTGACTGCAGGGGCTGTAGTGGGAAGCGCTGCGTTTTGTGGCGTGTTAGGATTAGGCGTGTTTCAGATCTACAGGCGGCGGGGGTCAGCAGTTGCAGCGGCTTGGCTATTCAAAAATCGAGGAAAGGGCCAGCTCAAAGGGAGTCGTATATCGCGGCCCGTCAATTCAGAAAACAGCCTCGGCTGGAATAGGCTATAGAATGGTGTACATCGCAACTCGCAGATACTGCAACATCACAAGCGAGAGGTGGGGCGCAGAGCAGCACAGGCCCTTGCAGAGGAGGTTTTTGTCAGCTTTATTAGAGGGGCCTGGAACCATCAAAACAAATTACCTCTTGATATGAGAAGAAACATGGGAAATGTAGTGCGAACATGGCTGAATTAGAATTAAAGATAGCTATTTTGTCTCGGACCGCTTTCTCGGGCCGGAGTTGAGCACGTCTGAGTAACCAGACCTTTTCATGCATCGGACAATACGTAGGGTCACGACGTCTATGCACCATTACAGTACTGTACCTTGACCGAGGTTTAATTGATACCAAACCAAACCGTTACCGGTAACGTAAAAACCGTTATGGGTGTCGCTAGTGCTCTTAGTTAGTTTTAG